TAAGGAAAATTTTGCAATTTCAGTCGCACTAGTTAAACAAAGTTTTGCCAGAAGCTTTCCAAATCCTGACCAGGTAGTATCCAGCTTTTTGTTGCTTTTCTACCTGTGTGTTTTGATTCTGGCAGGAGAGCGATGCATCTGACATTGACAATGTCAAGAAAGCTCTCAAGTTCAGCATGGATGAGTCAGAGGCCGAGCACAAGACGTATCAGCCTTTAGCGTCACATGACTGCGGTGAATTGGTCACCCCGCGGAGCTATGGTTTGATGTCGACGGCCTTGAATGAGGATAAGTTCACTCCACCTCCAGTTGGGAGACAAACAGTGCCTCAGCATGAACTGTCTTCAAACCCCAGCCCCTGCGTTCATCTTTCAATTATGTTGACAGGGGAATTTGATTTGCTTGTTCGTGTAGCTGACCTGTTTCAAGGCTGCTGGCATGAAGAAGCAGCAGGAGGAGCTGGAGGAGTCCAAGCGCGCAGACTCCAAGACCTCCAAGGTCAAGGGAGTCATCTCCAAGGACAAGTCCAAGTCCATGGCCAGTACTTCCAAGGCCAGTACTTCGAAGGCCTGCAAGGAGACCTCTTCTCCGCTACCAGCTGCGCACCTCTTCAAGGGGTACAACTTGAAGGATCTTGGTGTGCCACGTTGCGCTTGGCCAGATGAAAGCAAGGTCCATCACGGAAAGCACGGCTACACTGTGACAGGGTCAAATGACGCTGTTCTTTGGCCTTTGCTTCGCAAGTCTTTTGCATTGTTTTGAAATTCATATCGCGTGGGTTGTGTGTACTGATTTTTTGGTGAATCAGGACTAGTTTTCATCTTGGCCCTAACACTATATATAATTTTAAAAAGCAGTTGAACCCATCGCTAGGCAATCGAAGTGCTGTGCAACAAGCGCTGCTATGTCATCAAGCGTGTGGGGTCTGGAGCTTCAGAAGAGTGCCGCAAAGGGCAAGTAACATGGAGCCGCCATGATGGGGCGTCCAAGGCGTGGGCAGTGGCAACAGCCCGTGCAGGGTTCTTTTCGTTGAAGTGATCACTCGAAAAGAGTGGTGTGGGTTCACCATCTCTCAACATATCTTTGTGAGAGGTGCTTTAACATTGGGGTACAGGGTAGTGTGAAGACCATCGTGTTGGATCTTATCTCGATGGTTTGTGACTCGATCGCCAAGTTGCGACAGGCGCAAACAAACATTTCTTGTAGAAGGGAAACGAAAGACCAAACATGCTATGTGTAAATACGTTTATCATACATATGAGTAGATGATAAACAAATATCTGACATTCTTTGTTTTGATCAATGCACCTTGCTCTCCGAGAGTTTCGATCGAGGCGTGTGATCGATCAGCATCTTTTTCGCACCCCACCAGGTACGATGAGCCGCTTGCCGCGCCGGCGCGCAGCTGCTGGCAGCTGCACGTGGAGGCGCTTCCTTGGATCGCCAACCCAGGCTGGCGTCCGTGAGAGACCACTTCAACCAATAGAGATGGCCTCCAACCTAATAGAGATGGCCTCCAGCCTTTGACGGTCGAGTGCATTGAGTCAGGGGCTCCAATCTATACTAGTTAATAGAAATGGCCTGCAAAATTTTTGAGGATCGAGTGCATTCAGCCAAGGGCTCCAACCTAATAGCGATGGCCTCCAACCCATAGCGATGTCCAACATTTTCAGGATCGAGTCTCGTGCATTAAGAGCCAGGGGCTCCAATAGCGATGGCCTCCAAGTTCAACCCAATATAGGGATGGCTTCCAACCTAATGATGGCCCCCAACCTAAAGGAATATCAGTGTATTTTTGCTCACCAAGCCAGCCCACATGTGTTGGTTGGATGCAAGGCTTGCATCTACACGAGCAGCCGAAGACGATCATCCGTTTTGAGGCCAGGGTCAGAGTGATCTGGGATTGCGGTTTTTTTCATTCCAACTCCGTCAAAAAGGACCCTCCAACTGGTTTTTGCGATCGAGTATGAGCAGATGTGGACTATCATGGACGAGTCAAGACAAAGTTGAACAACGTTGCTGTTAGAACACGCTATAATTGTAACACCACCACTTTCACCATCCAGGCCCAAACAAGACCCTTTCCACCAAGTTCGCAAGTCACGGCCAACCACTCTGCAGGGAGATCGAGGAGATCGACCATCATGAGAGGCGAGAGGGACGGCCTGCCAAGCTGGGTGTGAGTTGAAGAGATGTGCGAAACAATCTTGAATATATGTATATATGAATATATACTTTGGGACCGAGCATTCCAATCAATCGCTTTTGCTTCAAGACTATGAGGGAGATGGCTTTTGGCTAGCTGCTTTTACATCAGCGTTCCACTTCAGTTGATTTTGACCTCAAGCCTCCCAGTTTGTCTTATAGTTGCCCCGAGCCCCAATCATGGTCAAGGGGATCTCCAGGAGAGTTTCGACGAAACGTGCGAAGTCAGCCAGTGACCGCCTTCCTTTCCAAGTCGGCCAACATAGATCCAAGCCTGTGTCATGGAAGTCGAAGCAAAAGATGTGGACTATGGCTGGCCTCAGATGGATGGGCGCTCCGCTTGTGGCTCGTTCAAACCGAAAGCAATCTATACTATATCATACTATATCATATCCTTTTTGGGAATTGAGAGACCTACTCCGAGGTCTTGTTAATAAAAGAAGCCTAAGTTTCCTGCTCCATAAAAAGTTTCCAGACTGGGAACTGGCCCAAAGTCCCAAAGTTCAGTAGAAGAACGCCAAACAGACCGTTACCTCGCATCTCAGGCTTTGCTGACGTTGGTTGGAATGATGTTCAGCACCAACGTGCCCCTTACACCTCTGGATCATGTGGAGACCTTCGCTGGGGAGATGGCGGTGACAATTGGGGAATGGCAGGATGGGTGTGGAAAGGGTGTTCTCATGTTGACATGTGACAGGATTCTTGTCTTTTAATCACAAACCCCTGTCAAGGTATGAATTGAGATATATACTTACCTGCAATCCCCTTGAGGAGGCACGCAAAGCGATTCCAATGGACATCCGGCTCGGTGCCCACCATGATATACTTACACCAATCGGGTTTTGCAACACCTTGGCCCAGCTCTTGGCAATAAAGCCGGGAGGAGGATTCTTCGCAGCGCCAGTGTGCTCGTCATGGGTGTTCATGACACTCGCTCATGGTTTCAATGCGGTGTTGTGTGTATAAGACATATCATGTCTTCCAAGAAAGCTTGAGAGAGGATATTTGATATTTATGGTAAACGGTCCCGGTACAACCTATAAACATCTATAAGCCTGCTGACCCTTCTTCACATCCGAGGTCGAGGGGCTCCACAAAGCGCACGAAGGCGTGTCCGCTGGGTGATGATTCCTACCAGTCGGTGCGCGATGCAAACATGATGGTGGCGCGCGTGGTGTGCTTGCTGGTCATAGCAACAGCACGTCAGATTTGGTGGGTGCTTGAACAGCCATGCAATTCTCTCCTTGAGTCCCACCCATTGTTTCAACGAATGTTGAGGCTGAAGGGCTTTCGCGTCAAAAGGCACTCGACATGCATGCTGTACTATGGTGGCCCGACTCGGAAACCAACATGGCTGTACAGTAGTGCTTTGGCTCCATCTGGATTCAAGTCAACCTTTCCTTTTTGGCACTATTTGCAGGTTCACGTTCATGTTCGTGCGTCCCAAAACACATGAGCAACCCATGTTCGTGCGTCCCAAAACACATGAGCAACCCATGGAAAAGTGTATTGAAGTTTGGGTTGTGGGTATGAAAGGGCATTCATGAAGTCTGCAAATATCACCCAAGGCCACCCAGAGATTGCTGACCTGGCCTATTACGCGGACAAGTCAGCCAAGCCCCAAACGGAGGATGTGGAGATGACGGTTAAATACGTCGACGGGAGTGGGAAATCTCGGGTGAAAGGAGGAAAAGATCTTAAACAGTCGCAAGCATATCCACGCAGGTGTCTAGCCTTTGAAATTAAAAGGATTAAAGGGTCTTATTGTTGGTTTTGATTTAGTTTTGATAACTTTGCCAATCCCTTCATCGACCTTCAATCCCTATTCAAGGTGGCCTTGAGAGTCTCTTAAGGCCACAATTGGAGTGTTTTTGAAGGCCACCATTAACTTCCCCTCAGGTTTGGAGTTAGCATGTCCAAGATCCGATCGATCCATGCCAAGCAGCACAAGCGACAAGCCCGACACTTCCTGAAGCAGGCTTGCAGCGCAGAGGATGCTCATGCCAACTGCTCTTCGCACATCAACAAAATTTGGATGGATGCTGCCCAGCTGGGGGATATTTTTGAATATCTTTCGAAGTAAACGCTGTGTGAAACACACAGAATTTGCCAATTCAGTGAGCAAAAAGCTTTCAGTGATGCAGTGAGCCTTCTTAGGGGCTCCCTCACCAAATCCTAATTGGATTGACTCTTGGACAGGCGGAGCGGAGAAGATCATTTGGGTGTATGCGCATTGCTCGCAGTCTCAACAATCAGCGTGTCCAATGATTGGAGCAAACAGTCCTTTTCATGTCAGGGAAACACAATAAAGACACGCAGCAACTTAGAAACGCAATGTGCCAAAACATTCCGAGATCACATGTGGCAAAAGGGATGCTGCCCTCCTGTTCAACCCCACCCTGCAGCCAATCATGCGCAAACCAAGTGTCCCCACTGCCAGGTCGACTTCATCTGAAGCGGAGGCCCTCCAGAGGTCAGCGGCTGCTCGCTTAATCCTGCAGAGAGCGAAGAAACGCCAACCCAGTTTCATTTTGTTGCATTTTTTCCGGCCAAATTCACGTGCGAATGGGAGAGAATTCATATGCGAACGGGTGAGAATACATGCGAATGGGAGATCTGGTAATATCTCAACATGTTTCAGAAATCTGCAAAAATTGGAGTCACTAGAACACATGCGAATGGGAGAAACACATTGCAACATTTGTGAGAGAGCTGCATACATTGCAATTGTTTTAGCTCGAGCGTTCACCTGGCACTGGACCCACACATTTCCAGGGTCTGTGGTAGGGTCATTCATGGCCAAGTCTGCGCAGCAGGCCAGGCCGTCTGCGCTGAGAAAGACCAAGGAGATGAAAAAAGTGATCAAGGTGAAACCTCATGTCACCTTTGCCGACACTGGTAAGTCCAAGGGAGCAGAGAAGAAGAATGATCAGAAGCAAAAGAAGGCCGCAGAGAGCGCAAAGAAGAAGGACCCAAAGCAGAAGACCATCATGGAGTACAAGGCTAAAAAGGGGGATTCGAAGGATGAGAAGAAAAGGGACGATGCGACAGAAGTGAAGGAAGAAAAGAAGACCAAGAAGAAGGACAATCAGAGCAAGAAGAAAGAAGATCAGACCAAAAAGAATGAAGATCAGAGCAAGAAGGAAGAGCAGACCAAGGCCAAGAAGGAAGAGCAGACCAAGAAGGAAGATCAGAGCAAGAAGGAAGATCAGAGCAAGAAGAAGGAAAAGGCGACCAACAAGGAGAAGGACCATGCAGAGAAGAACAGGACAAAAGGCTCCAATGACGACAAGAAAAACAATGAAGACGGGCTCAAGACACCTCCCCCAAGACGTTTCCGTGTCAAGTCGCCCCAAGCCTTGGCCGAGCTGGAGGAGAAGGCCAATGCCCTTGCTGCCAAACAAGCTGCTAAGCAGGCTCGTGCTGAGGCAGCCTTTGCGATGAGGAAAGATCTTCAGGGCGCATTGAAGCAAGCCAGGCTGGAAACTGAGTTCGATGCTGCTGGCATGGATGACTTCTTGGAATGGTGTCATAAAGCCTATCCGGACATGTCAATCGAGGAGGCGCTTCAAGTGAAGAAGAAGATTAAGGAGGCGCCTCCAAAGTTCAACAAGAACGATGACTTGGAAGATGAGTTGAAGAAAAAGAAGGCTGAGAAGAAGAACGCGAAAGAAAGCGAGGAAGAGGGCAGTGGGAAGGATCCAGAGCCAAAGAAGGCTAAGAAGAAGAAGAACGCGAAAGAAAGCGAGGAAGAGGGCAGTGGGAAGGATCCAGAGCCAAAGAAGGCTAAGAAGAAGAACGCGAAAGAAAGCGGAGAAGAGGGCAGTGGGAAGGAGGAGCCGGAGGAGGACGATGAAGAGGAGGAGGACAAAGATGAGGGCAGTGAGAGCGATGAACTTGAAGAAGACGAGACATCAGGAAGCGAGACGCAGGAAGAAGATGAAGAAGATGATGAGGACGAAGAAGAGGGAGAGGGTGATGATGAAGGAGAAGGCGGCAGTGGAGACGAGGCCGATGCCCCGAGCGAAGAGGAGGAGGAAGCAAGAGAGAGTCAGGATGAAGGGGAGGAGGATGATGAAGACGATGAAAGTGATGCTGAAAAGCCAGAACTTGTAAAGGCTGTGAAGGATTCCAAGGATGCAGCAAAGAAGATGATGAGAAACAGCACTACCAACAAGAAGGAGTGGGACAAGTTCATCAGACAGTCTATGAACAAGAACCTCTTCCCACCACGGCTAGCTGCTGCTTTCGTCAAACAAAAGAATGAGCTTTTCAACATGTGGCTGGACACTGGGGAGGACTGGGATGCGGTTGCCTGCGAAGCAGAGCGCAAAAACCAAACCAGTACCCTCAACCGAAACCAGTGGCAAGCGGTGCAAGCCCGAGAAGTAATCCAGAAGTATGGCAAGGAGCGAGGTACTGAAATCATCGAGAAGCGGAAGGCGGCAAGCCTCTACTACCTGGACGAAGACTTCCCAGACGATCCAATGGACCCTAGGGACTTATTTCAACAAGGCTTTCAAAAGAATCATTTGCGTTTATATTTTTTTATATTCAGTGGGAGTCATTGCAGTAAACCTCGGGCTGAAAATAGATTAAATTATGATCCTCCTACACTCGTGACCCAAAATGGTTTCAGGAGACCTGGATCTACATGCCGGCTGGCCGCTTAGTCCGCACCGATGACAGCACCAGCGAATCGTTCCGAATGCGAGCTGAACGCAGTGTCGACAATGCTCTTCGAGATGCTTTGTGCAGTGAAGCGGGTCCTTTGGCAGCCGGCGCCATGCCGAGCGCCAAATGCGTGAACGAGGCTGGGCAGAAGCGGCTGCTTCAATCCTTGGATGATGCCAAGGCAACAGTGAAGAAGCCCAAGAGAGAGAAGATTGTCGAAGACAAGGCAACCGAAGATGTGAAGCCAAAGACGATGATCGAGTGGGGGTCTCAGTGTACACTGGTCTAAATTCAGGGACCTCTAGGATTTCTAGGATCCTTTGAGCATCTTTGAGCCGGTCTAAATTCAGGGACCTCTAGGATATTCTAGGATCCTTTGATATCCTTTGAGCATCTTTGAGCCTTTGAATCAAATCTCCAAACTCCTGGTGAAATTAAGAAATCTCTATCGGATCCTTTGATCATGTTTGATCTAAAGAATTAGATAATGACCTAAGCTTCAGGAACCTCTCTTGACCCTCTAGATTCTTCATCCTTTCCGGGCCAGATACCCGGTTCCAAGATGCTTCACCGTCATCTTCTCCTTGTCGTCGAGCGGCCCAGGTTGGCGCAAGATCGTTTGCCTCAGATTCTTGAGGAATCTACAAAGGCTCGGCAGAGGAGCATCCAGCTCAGTGGGATTGAGTTTGCCCAGGAGTTGGCGAAACAGTTGAAGCATCATGCTGAGAGCGTTGAGGGAAAGTACATGGAGCTGCAACAGTTGGTTGCCGCAGATCCCCCTGTCAAAGACAAGTACTTCCAAGACCTTTTCAACAAGATCGATCGCAATACCGCTTGGTTCACCAAAGCGCAGGCGACAGTATGTTGAAAGTTTGTTTCATGCTTCCCAAGTACGGTGTCCCAAAATATGTTAAACATTGTTGAACTCATCCCAACAACAAAACGCCAAGTGACAGATCTGTCTTCCTGCGCCCATCAGGCATCGGCTTCTGGACTCCTGAAGCAGTCCAAGTCCAAGAGCAGCAAGAGCAAGAAGGGAAAGAAAGATAAAGAAGAGAAGTCTGGCAGTGATAAGCCTGACGTCAAGAGTACGTGATCGGCTGTGTCTTTCACCGTTTAGATTTTGGCCAATCGGGGTGTGGCACCATGCGCAACTGTCGCATGCTTGTCTGGGGTCTTCAGAACGCCATGGACACATGGGAATGAGATTGGAAGAAACGAAGAGTCGTGCGCTTGTTTGGGGTCCTTCTCACTAAATGGAGATGTAGGAAAGAGATGTGAACTTCCAACTCATTAAACTAGAGAAGAGTTGTGTCATGTTGTGTCCTTGAAGCTTGAAAGCTTCAACTTGAGTACGTGCAAAACATCAAACAAGAGAACATGTTTTTCTTCCGTGGCCAGGTCACCTATGTGCCGGAAAACGCCAAAGGCTTGAATCACTGCCGGAGAGCCAGACTGTCAACAAACTACTTGAGTGTATCGGGAGAGGTGGGAGTCATATACAGACTGCTACTGACATCGCACGCGCTGTTCGATCTGACGGTTTGGAATCAAAGGCCTTGGCGGCTTTAACTAGTTGTGGGGCCCATGGAGTTTCAGACCAGAACACCGAGAGGGATTTACACCGTTGGTTGCGGGGCCTTTGGGGGTTTGAGCTGGAACCATACCGCATCGAGCTGGAACTCAGCGCAACTAGATCTTGATTGAGAAGTTTTCTAAAACATAGTGGTTTGTATGGTTTGTCAAAAACTCGTATGATGTCCAGAAAACTGTTCAGTACTTATGACACAGACTTGTGCGTCTGGAGGTCAACAACGCCGAAGAGCCAACGTTGGTGGAAGCGTGGGTCATCCTTCCACATGAGATGCTCCATGCAGCAAGTGCGAGGAGTTTCCAGGTTCACACGTTTTGCAAAACAACCCATGCACTCTTCTTTACATCTCTTCGGTTCTTGTTAGTGATTATTTTCAAAACCCCTGGCAGTTTTCCTCGGTGTTGCTTGGCGGCTTCAGCAACAAAGCCATCCGGAAGTTCTGGGAGCACGTCAAAACATTGGAGGAAATCAAACATCACAGGGAACTACATGAGTTGTCCAGTGAAGATTTGGGGGTAACTATTCCCTGCACCATTCATGGAGATGGAGCCGAGATGTTCACCAACGAAGAGTTTTTCGTTTGGTCGTGGTCATCAGCGTTCACAGGGTTTGGCAGCGTGAAAGATCCTCTGATCCAAAAAATCCCCATAGCCATTGTAGCAGAAAGGGATATGATGCTCCTTGCAGTATCTTTGCTGAGCCCTGTATCTATTTTTTGAAGTGTTTATTGCGAACGCCGGTAATACCGCATATTTCTTCCACAGGCCCCATGCCTCATCCGTCTCAGGTCAGAAGAGGTGTGGAGAAAGCCATTGCCAATGTCACAGCCTGGTCGCTCAAGCAGGCTTGCCAGGGGGTTGCGCCATCGAGTGGTTTTTACCATGAGAGCTTCCCGAAGAAGAGCTTCAGATCTCAATTTGCTGGGAGTAAGTTGGCAAACGGTTACAAGTTCCTAGGCTCCATCATGGAAAGACTTTGAACATCTTTGAACCGTTTTTAGTAACATGTGGTTCTGGTGTGACAGCCAAATTTGGACCGGTAGCCTAGGATGATCTTTTTCTCCTTCAAGGCAGATTTGAAAGCACGCATGGAATGCAACTTCTTCTTCAAGCGCTACTACAAATGTAAGCAGTGCTGTGACCGCTGCAACGCGGTCGCCCCGACCACCAATCAACCTGACCCGTTGTCCTACAAGGACTTCTCCCCGCAAGCTGCTTACACCAGAACTTTGGTAACCCACGAGCAGTACATGCGTTAAACCCCTCCAGCTTTGATCTCACCGTGGGCCGCCGTGGGCGGTTGGCAGCTGGAAAGTGTTGGGTTTGATTGGATGCATCTCGTTTACCTTGGAGTCGCAAAGGACCTAGTGCCAAGCGCTCTGAGGCTCCTGAACATACTAGGATATGGATATGAACCAGGAGAGACTGATGCGAAGTTTCTCCAACGAGCTACCATGGAGATGCGGGAAAGCTGTAAGAACAAAGGGTTTTTTCGTAGCAATGCTAACTTCAGGGATTTTGTCTTTTGCCCAGTATTGTTTATACATGTTTATACTTTCTGTTCAATGACTATTTTGTGCCTTATGGGATTTGCTCAGTGCGTCTCAGGATTTATGTGCCGCGGCGTATCTTGACGCTAGCCAACTGCAACACGTGGGGGCATGAGGACTACGCGGAGCTTGGAAGCCGCTTCAAGGCATGCCATGTCAAGATCATGATCATGTGGCTCACCACCAAAGTTCAACAGCTTGCAGATGCCTCCGCCACTAGTCAGTCTACTAGTCTACAAATGTCTACAACGCAATCCGTTTCAACCCTTTTTGAAACCTTGTCCCAACCCCAAACGCCAATCCGGACATCTCGTGATCCCCAATTCGTCCCAGTCTCAGGATGAAAATGAGGACCCAATCTTGCAGATATTGGCCGCCAACATGTTTTCCTTGGCGCGCACCATCAAGATCATGGATCATGGAGGGCCTATTCTAACAACCTCAGAAAGAGACGATACTCTTCTGGATCATGAACCTTTTTAAATGGTTTTGGCCGGCGTGTACTCCCATATGTTCAATCCAACAGGTACTACTGCCGTTCCAACCGCCTGCCAAGGAAATGACTGAATGCCTGAAGGTTCATTTGCGCACGGCGCAGACCCTTGCGGCTTACTCGTGGACTGCTGGTTTCCAAATCTTTAAGTTGAGACCAAAGCATCACTATCTTTGGCATTTGAAGGAAATTGTTTCTTGTCAATCCTTGAATCCGAAGTGCTTTACATGCACTGACGATGAAAGTTATTTGGGGAAGCTGAAATCTGTGGCACGTCAGTGTCATGGATGTTCAATGCAGTACAGAGTGCTACAAAGAAGCATTCTGGCCCTTTCGCTTTTCTATCGAGAGGGTTAGGGGACCGACCACACACATGTTCTTAAAGGGCTTGAAAGGTTTTCCGCAACCCCAACTGATGTTTCCACATGATGGTCTACTCTACACTCACCAGGTACTAGAGGGAAGGGTGTTAAAAGGGAAGCCTGAGAAACAAGGCTTGGTGTGGTCCTTTCAACAAAGAGTTGAACTTGGCGAAAAAGCCAGGGCTCAGAAAGCAAGACAATGGGGCGCGCAAAAAAACGCGACATGGCCGGAAGGCCGCAGAAGCAGCATGAGAGGCGCCCACCCTTCAGTCAAAACTTGGTGTTATTCGGTGTTGTTGTGCGTTAAAACTGGTTTGTCTACCATGAGAGGTCTATAGTTTATTTTTCATGGTGCCCTCAAAAACTTGAGCAGCTCGATCCAGCGCGGGATGACAATGTTTTTTTCCCTCACCCCCTCCAAGAACATCTTCCGCTGCAAACATGTACACACAGTGTGCGCACATATATATTTATAATATATAGTAACTAGTGGCTCAAATCCGACTTCGTGTGGGATGGTTGCAGAGAACGTCAAAACAAAGAGGCCTGTGACAATG